AGATTGATAGCTACAGAAATAATTGAAGCTTTACAAAGAGGATTGCGAAAAGAGCAGGTATGGACTGATCTTCACTACGCATCCGATGCCGTGGAACCTCATGAGACTAGTGGGCATGAGACTTTGATGGCATTAAGTAATAGTAACCCCGAGGCGAATTGGAGTAAAGACGATGAGATTCTAGATGACAGTTGGGTTCAGAAAAGTAGAAAGAAGGGACAGGAGAAGGGGTCAGAGTCTGCTACCGGGCATATCGAGGGATTGCAGTGGGAGGTTTTGGTTGTAAATGATCCTGTTGTAAATGCCTTCTGTTTGCCTGGTGGGAAGATTGTAGTTTTCACAGGGTTGCTTGAACATTTTAGGACAGATGCTGAAATTGCAACCATCATTGGGCATGAGGTGTGTATAAAGCTTTGTCATTTTATTCGTTGATTGCATTGTATACAGGTACATCTCTGCCTTGTTTTTAGTATTCACCCCTTTGCTTGCTTGATAGGTTGGGCATGCTGTGGCTCGCCATGCTGCTGAGGGAATCACAAAAAACTTGTGGTTTGCTATCATTCAATTGGTTCTTTACCAATTTGTGATACCTGATGTTGTTAACACGATGTCAGCCCTGTTCCTAAGGCTTCCATTCTCACGCAGGTATGTGTATCACCTTTTATTTTCTGGATTTTGTAAGTTTCTCTTGCTTGTGTGTTTTATGTTTTAATCTGTCTTTTAGGACTTAGCTAACATTGTTGTGTCTTATCCTGGCAATTCTCTCTGTTATTCAATTGTATTAAATTGGTAAACTTTATAATCATAGGAATGTCATGTCCGCATATACAGCCAATACGTAGCGAACAAGTGTTCATCAGAGATTATGTCATCCCAGAAAGCTCATTTTTGTGTGTTACATAAGTAGCATATGTGAAATATTTGTTAGATGTTGATGGGACAACATGTAGGCATAGAGCTTGAGCCTCTTTTTATAAAGGTGGTCGCATCAAAATCTTGGTTGGATGTCTTTATTGTCTCTTGTTTCTTTTCATTTGCATCCTCCAACATTCATGTTGAGAAGAAGAATTTTACATTAACTTTTGTGTACTCCCTATCTATGTTGCATTATGTTTTGTGTTATGGTTTTCATTGCACAAACATAGGCCCTTCTAAGAGGTTCTCCCTCTATGTCAGATGAATATGTTGTAGTACAGCATAATGGTGGACATTGAAATTGTTGGTAGTTGGGAATCCAATGTTCTACCCCTAGTATCATTGTTTCCACTGTATACAAAGTGAATAGAGCTTGTAGAACAATCAAAGGAAAAAGAAAAATAAGTTATGCCAATTTGTTTCTGCTGCTTTGATCCAGCAGAACAGGGTGTGTGGGAACTCGAAAACTTAACTCTATCTTTACATGGAAACATTTATGAGGTATTTGTTGAAGGTATAATTATAAAGTAGAACAAGTTGATAATATTAGGTGTGTCAATGGTTTTCTGAGAATGGATTGTACTGACTGACTGAACTGAACCTTACTGAACCGATTCTTAGTATTTATAATAAAGTCGTAGGTTTCAATATAGATCTTATAACTGTCCCGAGAAATTATGATAGGTTTCCTAAATTTAGATAAACCAAAAAAATACCAAACAGAACTGAATAAATTCTTATATGTACAAAATATATCATATATATTAAGTTCACAAATTACGAAGCTTTTAACCTTGGGACTTGAGGTGGATTCATTTGGAAACAGCTACAAGTGACACTCTGACCAAACTCTACTACTACTAAAACTAAATTGGTTTCCAGTGCTTCCAAGGATGCTCCTCTTCTTGTTTTCTGCGTGATGGGCAAAGGAGAGGATCTTCCCTTGACTGATTTGTACCAGGGTTCTAATGAGTTTGACATTTCAAGTTGTCTGGAAAAGACCAAGTTCCCATTTTATCCACGTTAACTTGATAATGGTCAGCGCCTCAGTGGGGTGCAATTGAAGTGCATATGCACTCATCTTCTGATGGTGTTGGTTCCCCCTCTTTAGATGGCTTTTTTCGTTCTCTATCCTTTCCCCATTTTGTGTGTTGATTGAACCCTGATCGATCTCTCATTTTTCTGTTCAGCTCTATAAATTTGCCTGTTTCATTAACTAGTGAGTTTTCTTAAAGCATAAGACATTCCTAAAAAAAAAAGGATATTTGTTGAGCATCAGCTATGTAGCACGGGCATTAATATGAGTACATTTTTTTTATAAGGTAGGGTTACAGATATGAGTACAATATGAAAATATGAGCATCAAAATACAGGGGGTTGTTTATAGATGTATAGTTGTATCTCTATATTTATGCTGTTTGATAGTTTTCCTTTATATGTTTGAAGTCTGAGGACTTGTAAAAATCATTAATAACAATGAAAAAACTAAAGCTATAAGATATATTCCATCAATGCTTACTGGTTTTAACTGTATAGATTGTGAATTAGTCATGTTACCATCTAATTGGATATTATTCCATAAGATATTATCGAAGACGTCTCAATATAAATGGGAGTTACATACTAAAGATGATTGTTGCAAAGCAATAAAGCAGAGTGCTTAACCACGAGGATAGATTGCAGGCACATCTTCTTGAAGCGAATTTTCGGCATTCCATGTTCACACAAATCTAAAGAGAGTTTTCAACCAGAAACCCTTTCAAAAACTGTTAGCTGCCCTTCAGAATTTTTCCAAGAAGTATCGGTTTAGTTTGAATCCTGGCGTTTCTTACTTGAAATGATCCACGCTGTTACTTCTTCTCACAGTTGCATTGTGGTCTCAAATTTGTCTAGCGAATACTAATTTTAGGATGTTATTTGAATCTGAAAATCAGGAAGCTCTATCCAAAACTGAAACAAGAAATACCTTATCCCAGTCATATCCAGCGTGTATCTAGCCTGAAATATCCATGATTGCAGTATGCAACTAAAATATTTATTCCTGTTTGTTATAGGGTGTTTTGTCAATTCATGATCCTTTTGGATGAGAAGCATAATTTTGAGAAATAGAAACCTGAGTTCTCTAAAGCTTAGGGTCTAATCTTTGGTTAGTGAATCTAAGGCAGTTATCAGGAATCTATCAGAGAAAATTTAGTGTGGCAGTGACCCTCCACCCTGAAAAAAAGAAAAGAAAAGAAAAGTGAATAGGAGACGCTGCATTTCTTTCTTTTATCCTGCTAGGAGTTTCTTTTTTTTTTTGTTGTGTGTGTGTGTATGTGTGAGAGAGAGCAAATCATGGCAAGTATGACTTTGTTAGAAGTACTCATAGTTAATGTGTGGATCTCTGCCGGTAAACTCAACTACTCAAGTTGGACAGCCAATGTTTTGAGGTTTTATCCTTTTATGCGCTCAAGTGCTTCTGAGCTTTAGCAGTGCCAATTGATGATATAGTCTGTGTGAACAGAAGCAATAATATGTGACCAGCTTAATGCTACTTTCTGACTGTTTGCATTGAAAGCATATCCAAGTCTCCTTATTTGTGACATCAGTTTAGTTGTTGACTCCAGGACTTCCAAATTTAAATTTGTTTGTGTTTGACATACTCCATTTAGTCACTGGAGTAAAGGGATTTAGAATTCTGTCAATCATGTTGTGAGTGGCGAAACTCAAAAGAAACAATTTGAAAAGGATTTCTATTTCCAAAGGTATTAGAAACCTCAAACTTCAAAATAAATGTGACTGGCAATATCTGCCATGTAACCCACCTTTCCGTCCACCCATCCCACATAAAAAATGAAAAGAAGAGAGGAGGAAGTCACTGATTTCAGATGCTCAGTTATCTGGTGCATTTTATAATGTGCTTAGTAGTGATCTAGTAAGTCCGCTGTTGTTTCTCAAAGTCTATATTTTAGGCTTACTTTTGTTGGTTAAAGTCTTGAGTTAATCGCTTAATGAGCTTGTTCCAGCAGTAGAGGTTGGTGATATCAGTAATCACTGATCATATAGAGTTTGGAATTGAAACTCTTGGCTTCAAGCCTTTATGGCATCACCTACTTGTCATGTGGGTTTTTGTTAAATTCTGTTAATGTACCCTATTATGTGTCAACCGTTTTATTTGTGTGGGGTGCACATGTCTTCTTAGCAAGCATGCATATGTAATACACGAAACTAGTCATTTCAAATCATGATAGATAGGATGAATGTTTTGCCTTTTTTTTCCTTTTGTATCGAGTTCTCATGCATTTCTATGTACCAGGATGGAGATGGAAGCAGATTACATAGGGCTGCTGCTGATGGCTTCTGCTGGATATAACCCTCGTATAGCTCCCTCAGTCTATGAGAAGCTGGGCAAAATTTCCGGGGAATCAGCCTTGAGAGATTATCTGTCTACTCATCCTTCTGGGAAGAAGAGAGCGCAGTTGTTGGCTCAGGCTAAAGTAATGGATGAAGCCCTTACAATATATAGGGAAGTGCAGGCAGGAAAAGGGATTGAGGGTTTCCTATAGAGGAAAGGATGAAATGCACAGGCCATGTGAGAGTAGGGAGCCGCCCAGAAGCCAGTTTTTTCGGAAGTTATGCTCATCTTTTCTTCGCATTTTGATTGATTTTCGTTTCAAGTTCCAGTAAGTGAAGATTAAGCAAAGAATTCTTCACAAAATTGTTGTTTTTGGACAACTCCAATTCCCTTTCCTGGCTGCTGAAATTGACTGTTCAATAAGCATACTTATCTGTCTGTTGTAACCCTTTCAAATCCCGTGCCGGGAAGTTCCTACGGAATCCAGTAAGCAACTTGTAAAGCAACATTCCATCTTTTTAGGTAAAATTGTGTTGTCGATCAGCTACCAAAATCTGTCATTTGATTATATTTCCTTTTAGCAATGTGCAATCCATCGTTTCCAAGATCTTTTGAATGTCCATTCATGCCACGCCATGGTCTCTTCCTTACCTTGCCACTGAGGTCCAGTAATTCAACACTCTAATAACAATATATAGGCGAAGGTGCATTCTGCCTACGCTTTGTATACCTCGGAACCTCTCCGTGATGATTATACTGAGTATGTCATTGTCGTTGACTGTTCCCAATTTCGTTATGTTTGAGCTATGAAAATGATGGAGTTGCAACGGCTAAAGTTGAAGAACACACTAGCATACCTGCTTGAGAATTGCAGGAGCATGAGAGAGCTCAAACAGATTCATGCCCACATAACTACAGCCCCTCAGTTCTTCATCACTGACCGTTGGCTCTTAATCTCTCGCATTATTTTCTTCTGCACAGTTTCTCAATCAGGGTCTCTCAGCTATGCCGATACCGTATTCAGGCTCGTTCCTCGAAAAACTCTCTTCATTTACAACTCCATGATCAGAGCTTACGCTTCAAGAATCCATGACCCCAATTCATCTCAGCCCTTAATTTTGTACAAACAAATGCTCTTTGATGGTATTACACCGGATTGTATTACTTTTCCTTTCGTGTTAAAGCATTGCGCGAGCAGAGTTGATGGACTCATCGGACCAAGTGTTCATGCCCATGTTGTTAAGTTTGGGTTTCACAGTGATGTTTTTGTGCAGAATTCTTTAATTGCTCTGTATTCACAATTTGGGTCAGTGGATAATGCAAGGATGGTGTTCGATGAAATGTCTAATCGAGATGTTGTTTCGTGGAATTCTATAATAATTGGGTGTTTGAGAAATTCAGAGCTGAATATGGCGTTAGAGTTGTTTAGGAGGATGAAGTATAGGAATATTGTTACTTGGAATTCAATTATCACGGGGTTCGTACAAGGAGGTAGGCCAAAGGAAGCTTTAGAATTCTTCTTTGAAATGCAAGTGTCTGGTGATGATATGGTTAGTCCAGATAAAATGACAATTGCTAGCGTGCTCTCAGCTTGTGCTTCTCTTGGCGCGGTTGATCATGGAAGGTGGGTGCACGATTACTTGAATAGAAGCGGAATGGAGTGTGATATGGTGATTGCAACAGCATTAGTCGATATGTATGGCAAATGTGGGAGTGTTTCTAAAGCCCTTGATGTTTTTAGATCAATGAAAAATAAGGATGTTTTGGCATGGACAGCTATGCTTTCTGCATTTGCAATTAATGGTAATGGCAGAGAAGCTCTCGAGCTTTTCTTGGACATGGAAACGGCTGGAGTGAGACCTAATGCAGTGACTTTCACTGCATTGCTATCAGCTTGTGCTCATTCTGGCCTTACAGACATAGGCCGCTGGTGTTTCCGCGTGATGAGGCATGCTTATCACATAGAACCACAAGTCCAACACTATGCTTGCATGATTGACATTCTTGGTCGAGCTGGTCTCTTTGATGAAGCAGAAGAGCTAATCAAAAATATGCCAGTGGAGCCAGATGTTTTCGTTTGGGGTGCACTACTTGGTGGCTGTCAAATGCACCAGAATTTTCAGTTAGGAGAAAAAGTTGCCAGGTATTTAATTGCATTAGAGCCTCTGAACCATGCCTTTTATGTCAATCTTTGTGATATATATGCCAAAGCTAGAAGATTTGATCATGTGAAGGAAATTAGAGCTCTTATGAAGGAGAAAGAGATTGAGAAGACCGTTCCTGGCTGCAGCGCGATTGAAGTTAATGGAGTTGTTTGCGAATTTTCTGTAAGAGGATCATCTCAAGTTTTGATGACGGAAATAAAGTTTGTTTTATCTAGTTTGAGTGATGAGATAGGAAGGAGTTTTAGTATGAGCACTGTTGTGGAATGATGAAGAGTGAAAAAAATACTTATTTGGTTCTTCAATAGATATGAATGATTTCAGAGCCTTGCATTGCATCTGAAGACATAAGAGTTTTACTTTCATATGACTTTGTTTGCAACAAATTTTAAACATATGGAAATCCCTTGATGCTCCTCTCCTGGGATTTATTTATTAATCAAGATAGATTGCGAGTACAAATCTGTTTATCCCTTGATTCTTCTTTCCTAAGTTCGATGGCCGTTTGTAGCATATTACGAAGGAAAGTTCGAGGGCCGTTTGTAGCATATTATGATTTAGATTTGACCTCTATGAATAATTCATCAATTTGTGGAGTATTCGAAATTTTGATCTCTTTATGGAATTTCCGAGATGCCTTTTAAGGGAATTTAGTACCCTTTATATAGGCATAAACTAGGATTTAGGGTTGAGTAACCTCCAAAAATCCTAGTTTGAGTTGAATACAATTTGTAGAGTCTCAACTCGAACTGAACGCATCTTGTGGAGACCCACAAAATACCAACAAAATTTCAATGGTGGTCTTGTTTTACAGTCAATATGACCAGATTAGGATTTACCGCCTGCTTTGGCTTCTAAGTATTTTCATGCCCCAAAATGAAAAAAACAAAGGATAATTACGATTCAATGTCTTTGGGTGATCTAGTTTTATATGCTCATTAATCACCATATAAAACTATTTCATTTTTCTTAACACCTAACTATATATTGGGCTGCACACACATAAGGGCATGTTTACCTATGTGATATTAAATCATGATATAAATCATAATATAAAATTATGAGATAAAGTTAAAGTTTTGTTTGAACATATAGTTTGAACTTGTAATGTTATATGTTTTTAATATAAATATAAGAACTTCATAAGTTGCAAAACTATTAAATTATATCAATCATTGATACAATCTTACTAAATAAAAACAAGTTTATAAAATCGCATAATACACTATATCACAAAAGAGATTCTTAAAATACACAATATATATATAGTTTTAATTCTATAAAAAAAATTATAAATTTTGGTGTATTGCTCTTTAATATAATCCTTCAACATAGTACGAACAATCTTCTCACGTTGAAATTTGCATTTCTCAGTCATGTGATTGAGAAAATGAACCAACATTGTTAGTTTGAACCATTTGTTGGCCAATTTGATTGGTAAATATATTTGACAAAAATAATAAATTTGGTAAAGATAATGGTAGAATAAAAATTGATTTGAAATAGTAATTCTATGTAAGTGAGAACAGTCATTACATGATATATAAATAATTTTAAAAGTAATAATATAAATTATAAATTTTATTTACATATGAAATAAATAGGTGAAGTTATTTTATAAAATATAAATCTGTGGGTCAATTTTTAAATTTAAAAAATCAAAAATCAGTATTTGAAATTTCCAAATTATAATTTTCCAACAATTTAAGATTTCATATTACAATTTCGTATCGCATATCCAAATTGTCTACTAGTTTACAATCTTATCTCGAGAAACTTGAGTCCTTGTCACTTTTGTTCTTCATTTCACCTTTTGAATAGGAAAATGTGTTAAAAGAGATAGCTATCGAGTTGTCTTGTTCCTAAGTACATGCATGATTGATCACTAAAGTGATAATGGAACAGCCCAAGTTGGTGCATGCATGGTGGTCACACACCACTCACTACTACATTTTGTATACATAAAGATTCTCTTTTGTATAATACAAAGTAATAAATACTTGCCTTTAATTCCTTCTACTTTTGGGGGTGTATTTCAAAAATATTTATATATACTTAGAATAAGGCTAGGACGCATTGGATGGATTGGGACGAAGAAGAATTGATAATAAATTTGAAACATCACTTATAATATTTAATTTATTAATTTTTTTATTACGGAAAGTCATTTTTTCTAATTTGAAAGAACTTGTTTTCATATAAAAAAAACTTTTTCCTAAGCATTTCAAAGGGTACTAGAATTAATACTTTATTTATTATAACATCCTCTTTTTTTTTTTAC